CTGCATCGTGAAGGCTAGAATTAAGAAACCTGATCCCGAAAGATATATTTAGTGCTGTTGGGGTACACAACTGTTTCTTTTTATGATTTACACTAATTAATTAAAATGAAAGAAATTCTTCAAAAGTTGGTTTTGGACATTTTTCTAATTTACTCAAAATCTAGCTCGAAAAGTTGTCTTTATGTTTTGATATGTTGTAGATATGGCACTTTTCCTACAGGAACAATTTCAGGGTAGATCAACGACTTAGATGTTTAGATATTTTGCGTTAAATACAAAATTGCCATGTCAAATGTTCCACCACAGGCAGCCCAACAGCTAAAAAGTGCGCGCGCAGTAAGGATGACCTTAAAATGCAGCGGTTTTACTTACTAATCAAAGCAAAGACTCTTCTTCTGAGTTCTGCGATGCTTTCGCTCCATCGCAGAGAATTAGCATCCGCCCCTTCGTTTGCCCGTCCATAGACGGTAAGGCTATCACGATCAGTTGTCAACGTCTTGTCTTTGTACTCACGAAAGGCGCTGTCCATAAAAGGGAACTGCTTTGTTACATCTTTGTTTTTATCTGTGGTGTCTTCAACTATAAATTGGACTCCTGGGCGAGCTGTACAAAATTTACTGATACTCGTTTCTTCAAATATGTCTTGGATCATTTTTGTGAAAGCTTTCGCAATGTTGTTAAATAAATGATCGCCCTTTTTGTTGCCGACCGGCTTACATTCTCCACCAAAGGCAAAAACAGCCAGTAGTATTAATATAAGATTCAGAGCCTTCATTACTGTTTCTAAATAATTCAAAACAAAAGATTTAGAACACAATCATGAAATAAGATATGGAGAAATGTTTCATATAATGATCGAATGTATTTTGTTTTACTTAAAAGTTTCATATTGTGAAAAGGTTGAGACCCTAAGGTGTTCTGGGTAAACAGTTTATATGCCCATATTGTAGATGTGTCAGGGTTAGGTCCACTGTTAACCTGTATGCATGATGCAACACTAGTGTTGTAAATGTGATACAACACTGATTAATAAAACATTAGTGTTGTATCAGATGTACAAAGTCCATGCATCACGTGGTCTAATGGACAACCTTGATTGGACTTACGGCTCACGCATTATTAATGAGTTGTAAAAATTATTTTTATAATGCAATTGATAGGTACGTTGTTTGTTTGTTTGTTTAGCTTTTGATGTAAGCATGTGTTTTGTTGTTGCAGTGATCATGATTCAGGTGATGGTCCCGGCCTTGAATATCATTTCCTTCTTAAACAGACACTACATTAGCTTTTGTTATAGTTTATTAACCAGCATTACTAACAATAACCATTGATGATAATGTCACAGGTTCCACTATTGTTCTAATCTGGTGTCGTCTGAAGATCGTTCCCTTGCTTGAGTCTAAACAATAGATCGCTCTACCGCCTTTCAATTTTTTACCTATGAAATTAGTTTAAGTTTTATTGTTTGTTAAAAAAGATCTGCTAAAAATAAACTTGTGACCTATTTACTGCAGTCTGTATGTTTTAGGTGTGAAATTTTAATTTTAAACATTTCTACGTTGGCGTATGTACAAAGGTTTAAAATCAATTAAARCCTAAAACAAACAATCTACCATGACTACAAAATCTCTTGAAGTCCCAGCTAAAACAATTTCAAAAACATTTACTGCARCRCGTTTATTTTTAATTCTCCCGTAAAAACAATGGAACATAGAAAAACGGAAAATGACAACACAGACAACCTATATTAGAACAATAGCGTGACTCCTTTGGAGCACTAGCGGCTGCTAGCGGAGATTTAAAATTATCCTTTCAAAAATATTTTTAGAATACACGCCAGTTCAATCCGTCTGTTTATTGTTTTGGTTAAAGTAACAGCGGTTCGTCGTCCTGTCTATATAACCAAGGGCCCTTTCAGTTTAGATTTTTGCAGTCAATTGTTAGCCGACTGAACAAAGGCTTATGACAATGACTAAAACCTATGCATATCTAATCAGTTTACCTACGAACGTCTGAAACTGATTCTCTCAAATTAATTTTGAATGAATATACACTGAAAAAAAATCAAATTTACAAATTTACAAATTTACAAATTTACAAATTTACAAATTTACAAATTTACAAATTTACAAATTTACAAATTTACAATTTGCAAATTTACAAATTTACAAATTTTATGACTTTTGGACAATTACATTATATTTACATCAAATTTACAACCTTTAAAGCGCGCGATTTTTTCCAGTGTAACAGAGGCTGGATAATAACAATAACAACAAGTACAATAATGATAATATTACTATATAATTATAATCTATTTAAAATCATTGTAATTTGTTTTTTCTTTACACTATGTTTTTGTTACTATAGATTATCGATGCTGTTGTTCACGACAATCTTAGACCTTGCTAGCTCTAGCGATTTCTTGTATTTTATCTCATTGCCATGACAAACCTTACGAATTTCTGCATGCGTTTGGCAAATTTGCTTTTTGTTATTTTTTATGTCACTACAAATTCAGTGAATTGAATGAATATAACACGATGAAAGGATCAAAGGATAAAATTAAAGTTTTACATTTGGCTCTACTTACCAGACTTCGATGTATGTTACTCTAGCTGCGAGCTGGAAAATTCCTTGAGATGAATTAAGACACCTCGGGACCAGTAGTATACTTTACATCGAGAGGTTCGGGTGGTCGTGAGTAACTCAACGCTGATTGGTTAAGAACATAAAAGGAAGTGACGTTAHAAGTCAAAACGAGGCAACCGAAAGTCATTCGCGTGTTGACGTCACAAGCTATGACACCACGGGTTGAAACTTGTCAGGTTTACGTCACAAGAATCATTCAACCCTTTTTTACACCTATTTCAAAATAGGCCAGATAGGCTGTCGGGGATAAAGCAGAATTTATGGCGCCGGACTGACTATGTGCGTTACGTTACTGTCGTCGGATCAATTACCGAATATACTTTCCCACAACTAGCAAACTAGGTTATCAAAGGATGCAAATCTTGTCTGCCTACCAACAAGAACTTTTTATAACACAGTCCAGGGTACCAAGTGTTGGGTCACTGGTAAGCATCCCCAAAGAACATTTTATAACCAACAGTATATACAAAGCGTCCAATCCCAACAGCAGTGATCTCTGTTGACCCATGCCAAGTCCTCGAGGTGGTGACTAAACCTAACCCTAACCCTTTACCTCCAATATATAGAGATTTCACGAATGTGATATTTTCAATGATTAATGAATATAACAACTTCAAAAAAATATACAATGGCGAACATAATGTGCTGTCACGTATGCTAAAACTGGAGTATGTTCTCTATAAGATAATATATCTTTACATATCAAAAGCCATTCCTTCCCCACTTTCCCGATACAATGTCGGAAGTCGTCAATATAAGAGCTAACGCTGAATCCCTTGGGGGAGGGAGGGGAGGGGAGAAACACTATTGGAAAAGTGAATAATCTATATATGAAAGTTAGACTCACTCGCGAAAATAGCTTTTTCCCGAATTGAAGGTATTTTATAGATAATTATATGATAATGGTTATTAATCTTATTCGTACAGGTTGGGGCAAGCTAACAGCTGGTGGGGCTGATCCACGTGTCCTCATGCAAGTGTCCGTTCCTATTGTCTCAAGAGAAAAGTGCAAAAATTCGTACCCTGGTCAAATTGACGATTCCATGATCTGTGCCGGGTACGATCAGGGGGGCCGAGACTCTTGCCAAAACGRCTCTGGGGGTCCTCTTGTGTGCGAGCAGTTCGGGAAGTTCTATTTAGAGGGTGTGGTCTCGTGGGGTGAAGGATGTGCGGGACGGTTAAAATACGGTGTTTATGCCAATGTCCGATATTTGAAGAGATGGATATACAATAATATGAAATAATGATGTAAAATAAACATTTATCATGGACTCTTTTGTGTTAAGTTAGATTTATTATCGATGAAACATATTACAAGAAAAAGAAAGTAGGTCGAAAAAAATGAACGATTTTTGTTCAAAAAGCATGGACTATAGCCCACCAAAATGTCCAAAAATGAACCATTTTCGTTCAAAAAGCATGGGCTATAACCCACCAAAATGGCCGAAAATGACCGATTTTTGATCAGAATGCATGGTCTATAGCCCACCAAAATGGTCAAAAATGACCGATTTTGATCAAAAAGCATGTGCTATAGCCCACCAAAATGGCCGAAAATGACCGATTTTTGATCAAAAAGCATGGATTATAGCCCACCAAAATGGCCAAAAATGACCGATTTTTGATCAAAATGCATGTGCATCTTTATTCATTTGCGAAAAATCATTCAATTATTTATTTCATAAATGTGTTTCATACAACATGACTACCTAAAGCGTGAACACGCAGCTGAGCTTATAAATGACTTCTTTATTGGATTCTTGATTTCATTATTGGATTCGAAGATTCATTATTGAAAACGAAGAGTTTTATATTCAAACGAATAATACTTGATCAAACGTCGACTAAACTATTTCTTTCCACTGAACTTCTTTTGAACGAAGTTTGCGGCTTCCACGGCCCATTTGTTAGCTTCTCCAGGCAGCTCCCTCAGTACGTTTGCAGAACGCTGTTCTACTTGGTCGACCAATCCGAGCTTTGCTTTGTTCTTTGGATCTTGTATAAAAACTCGCTTGGCATCCTGGTCCACGTATTCGTTCCTGTTCAAAATTTGCTCAATCAATTCACGAAGGTGATTTTGAAGTGCCAGGGTTTCTCTTGGCGATGGCTTTCCTTGTATTTTGATATCAACGAATCTGGCTGTTGAAATATACATCAATGCCATCGAGTAAGAACATACTAATAAATAAATAAAGTCTTTTATTTTGAGAGGGTAGCACGAATTAGTCTCTAGACTAATAAACGAAAGAAATTCWTCAAAAGTTGGTTCGGTTGAAACCGGACCAACCGAACCGGTGGCTACGCCCCTGTTCTATTAATATTATTTCAACCATGCGTCACCCGATAGGGGAATAGCGTTAGCTATCTAAAAAACAGTTCATTGCGGACTGTCGAATAGTCTCCTTCACGGGTACCTGCGCCATCTTGAAAGGTAGCCGTGCCTTTACAACGAAGCGAGAAAACCGTTGAGCGTGCAATGATAGATACCTGTGAATAATTGTCAGTAGGTGTGAAAGARGGTTTCTATCCCATTGCACGCTCAACGGTTGTCTCGCTTCGATGACAAGGCACGGCTACCTTTCAAGATGGCGCAGGTAACCGTGAGGAGGAGACTATTCGATAGTTTTGCACATTTTTCTGATTTACTCAAAATCTAGCTGGAAAAGTTGTCTTTATGTTTTGATATGTTGTAGATATGGCACTTTTCCTACAGGAACAATTTCAGGGTAGATCAACGACTTAGATGTTTAGATATTTTGCTTAAACACAAAATTGCCTTATCTGTCATGTTAAATGTTCCACCACAGGAACCCCAACAGCTAAAAATTGCGCGCGCAGTAAGGATGACCTTAAAATGCAGCGGTTTTACTTACTAATCAAGGCAAAGACTCTTCTTCTGAGTTCTGCGATGCTTTCGCTCCATCGCAGAGAATTAGCATCCGCCCCTTCGTTTGCCCGTCCATAGACAGTAAGGCTATCACGATCAGTTGTCAAC